CCACTCAAGTTAATGCGGGGTTTTTCCATCAGTCCAGCATCTTGCTCAACCTTGAAAAATGGCAAGCAGTAGGCAAAAGAAAGTTAAGAGACTGATATAAAAGAAGCCAGACATAGGAGGTGGATGTCTTGAAATGCTGTTTCCCATGTTGTTGAATGCATATGCCACACACACCCTTCCCAGTGGAAATGGCTTATCCTTTTCCCTGCTTTCTCTCCCCCCCCCCCCCGCAGTTCTCAGAGTTCATCAAAGCCCAGATCGCTGAAGGCAAAGGTCGTCTCATGCCAGGCCCTGACCCGGAAAAAGTGGTCAACGACATGTTCCAAAACCAAGACCGGAATAAGGATGGGAAGATCACAGCAGAGGAACTGAAGCTGAAATCAGACGAGGATCAAGTTAAACACGAGGAACTTTAAAAGAGAAAGGACTCTGGGATTGGGCTTCGTTGTTGTTTTCTTTAAAAAAGCACTCCAGTTTGGTGCCTCTTCCCCTACTTTGCGGGGCCAGAAGCTCAGTAACTCCCTTTCCTGAGTTAAAGAGACTGAACCTACAGATGCAAACCTATTTTGTTCCACATTTTGTACCTTTGCTCTTTTTTCCCCTCTCCCCTTTTTTGAGAACTATTTAACTGAGATCCTGTTTCGACATACCAAAATCAGGGAGTTAGCGCTTGCAATGATTCCCTTTCCAGACAACCACCACACACCACACCATTTACTGAATCCCTTCTATTTCCTCAGGCATCCCATCTGCAACAAAATTGTCGTGAGCAGGAGCCGTGCCATCGACTCAGGCCTTTTGTTCTGCCGCTTCCAGGCGCACACCCTGCCCCCCCCCATTGGATTTTTGTGTGTTCTCTTCCCAAATCGAGGAAGCTGAATTCTATATTAAGGAATCCCGAAACGTGTGACGGGAACCCAACAAATGCATTGCTCAAGTGTATTTCCAAGAATGGGGTATTAAGTTTTTCTTTCGGTCCAAAACCAGAAAGGAGGGGAGCGGAAACGTGGAGATAAGGTTACCTATCTGCTCCAATATTGTTTGAATGGCGGGTGCGTGGGCAGCCTTTTAATCCGTCAAGGGATGCCTTGTTTCTGATGTAGTCAGACCATGCAATGGCAGTGGGCGGAGCAAAAAACAGGCGTGGGTGTGGCCAAAAGGGTGCACCGCTTTATCTTCTTTTTGCCACATCCTTTCCTTTCTGTCCCTCTTTCCTCCTTTTTCTGGCCCTGCTTCTCTCTCCGTCTCCCTCTTCACCCACAGGCTGCTGAGGAAAGGACTGCTCATTCTTCTTGTAGTTCTGAGCTGCCTGTGTTGCCCCCTGAGGGCTTCTGAAATCAGTTCAAGGACTACACGAGATTAGGCCAAGGGACTGCTGGCTGGCCGCCTCTGTGACCAGGTTCTGATGGCGGACTCTTAATAGGTGCAGCTTTCCCTCGTTGCTGCTTGTTTATGCCAGGAAAGTCTGTACCTACATAAGGAACCCGGCTAGATCAGGCCAGTGGCCCATCGAGTCCCAGAATCCTGCTCTCGCAAGATGCCTACAGAAAGCAAGCAGGCAGGACCAGAGGGCAGCAACACTCTCAGAAATACCTGCTGGATTTCTGCAGCAACTGGAACTGGTATTTTTTAAGGCGGCTTAGCAACTGCTAGATGTTAAAAGGACAGACTTGGAAACTTCCAAGATGAGTCAGTCTGGGCTCCCTGCAGCCAAAAGGGTAGGGAATAAGGACTGCTCTCTTTCCTTATACAGTCATACCTCAGGTTACAGACGCTTCAGGTTGCGCGATTTTGGGTTGCGCATCATGCTGAACCCGGAAGTACCGGAACTTCTGGGTTTCGGTGCTTGCGCAGAAGCACCAAATCGCAACCCGCGCATGCGCACACATGGCGCTGCAGGTTGTGAACACTGCGGGTTGCGAACATGCTTCCCGCACGGATCACGTTCTCAACCCGAGCGTGCAGTGTACTAGTCCTGCTTGCCTCCTCCTCACCGATTTGACATCTTGCGTACATCAATAAAATCCCAAGTTTCTTCAGCTGCAAATCTTGAAAGGAGCATAACATAAGCACAGCAAATACCGTTTATTCCAAGCTCTACTTCTCCCTTCCTGACCCCCACCAAAAAATGTGCAGTGCACATAACCCCTAGTTGCAGTCTTGTTCTCTCACACACAATCACGCACATTACAGGGGTTTTTTTAAGTGCTACCTGTTTTTCCAGTCTCTTGAGTCATTTGCATGAGGCTTCCAACAAATGTTGTCCTACCTCTGAGGATTCTGAATTCATAGATGATGCCCACTTTTGTTCCACAAGCTCTACTTCAGAAGATTAGGCTGAGATAGAAACTGGAGATTTAAGTGCAAGGAGGGTGCCATGGGAGCAACCTTCCATCACCTGCCTTGCTAGTCAAAGCATGCAAGGGGTTGCCAACTTTTTGGCTTCCCCTTGCATCTGTGCATTTCAACATTAGCTTGATTTGCGGCAGACAATAGCAGGTGATGATGGTTTTCTCTTCAGGTTGTGAAAATGCTCAGCTGTGGGGGTTTTTTGCAGACAAGCTCCTGTTAAAAGGTCCAAGTGGAGAGCCAGACCTATTGACAACTTTGGATTTAAAGTGGGTAAGAAAAATGCCCTTGTTTTGCTTGAAAACTGCTCTGCAAACCACGTGCCATACCAGCTGACTTTTTACAGTAAACTCTTACAGAGCCACCAGTGAATACAAACAGACCATCTACTTCAACCTGAACATTAAACAAACTCATCCTTCCTGCCTGTACCCTTCCAAGCAGTCCTGCATCTTCATTTTTACTCACTGCAACCAGTTTGTTTCATTTGCCCTACGCGTTGGTGGAGATAAATGAGGTGGAAAAATTCTGGACTGTAGTACCTCTTGAGGGAAGATGGAGAAATGCATTTTTTAAAAATACTCCCCCACACTAAAGAACAAATAAAAAATGTCCCTGCATGTAGTAAAGCTACAGGGGGGAGAATTCAAAAACATCGTCCTCCATCTGCAGCCTGAAGAGATTACAGCCCCACAACCTTGTTCAGTGTTGTGTGTGGCATGTCAGTGGTTTTTTGGCAATTGTGGGGTTCCAGAAAGGCTTGACCATTTCTGGGTCTTATGTGAGAGAACGCTTCCAACACTTAACACATTTCCTCCTGCAAACATTCCCCATTGCTTCTCCTTTTTGTTTTGTTTTTTGTTTAATCCTTTAGTCCCAAAACCTCTGGAATGGGATTATTCAGGGCTTGCAAAATACCTTAAATCTGAAACACAGGGCTGGGCCTTACCATATATTTTTCTTTAGGGAGCTGTAGCTACACTGAAAAACGCAGTGAGCTGTAATAGCCCCCACAACTGCTGTGGTTGTTACCATCCAAGAGAGAGATGACTAGCTCTGCATAGCCTATTGCCATTTTTTTTCCTTGGCTGATCTCCACTCTGGGAAGCAAACACCATCGTGGGCACGTGGTGTGGGTGAAAGTCTCAATACCATGGGGGCTGCAAGATCCCCAACTTTAGAAATGAGTAGAGCCAGTTTTACTATTTTTAAAAAACAGCTTGTGAGACATGCACATTAACACCCTTCCATTGAAGTGAGGCGTTGTCTGTTCTGATTTAGTGTTAAGGAGGAACAGAGTGGCGAGACCACCAGCTTTCTTTCGGTTTTGATATTTCCCTATTCCTTGCCCCCACCCCTGCGCCTCCATTTTATAACAGAGGGACAGCAGAGCAAGGGAGATGATGTTAGAATTCCTGACAGAATTTAGGCATCAGTGGCGGCCATTTTGTCTGCGCCTGCTGCCATCTTGGAATCCTGGCTGCATACAACCCAGTGTATTGTGTGCAGTTGCAATAAAGAGGGCAGTAGGTGCCTTGTTGCTGTCCCCTTAACCATTTTTCTAAGAAAAGTTTGTCAGTTGTGCCCAAACTTTGGTTGCGTTCTGCTACTAGATTCTAGATTCGTTCCCTTTATCCCAAACTATTGTAGGTTATAAAAGCTCTTTAAGAAGTTTCACTACTGCTCTGATGAAGGTGTAAGGTCAGGGCAGCTGTGCCCTTGCTAAATCAGGAGTGTGGTTGCCCAGCCTGACAAGCAGCAGCAGCAATAAAGAGTGCTGGCAGGTTGGCCAGATCTTTTCTTCTTTGGGCAGGGCTCCTACGCCTCAGAATAGCTGTAGGACATTCAGCTATTCAGGCAGGCAAAGCTTTTATTTTCAGTGCATGCCAGGCAAAGCCTGGCTTGCTGAATTTTTGCACTTCAGTCAGGCCTTGAAGACACAGAGGCCGTGCCGGAGGAAAAAGCCGGCAACTCTTGTGAATGGAGCAATTTAGCAGCATAGTTTTCCCGTGTGGCACAAACGTCAATGGAGACAGTAGCAGCTTAGCAGTTGTGTCTGCTGCAGGCCATTCTAAGAGCTTTCAATAGGCTTGAAGAAATATTTATCGTCATATTAGGCCATGAGCTTAATTGCTTTGTCATATCCTCAACCCGGCTCAAAGCATTCCAGGACCTGTGGTTCTGTGACAATGGGTAGGAACTCCTAGCACAATTGTCAGAACCCACTCAAACCTACAGGACCCAGGTTTCTTGAAGGAGATGGGGGAGGCATGAAAGGTTTGGTAAAAGATCCCATCTTACAAAGGTTACGGAGTGGTTCATAACTTAGTTGCATATTGTGGTGGTGGTGTTGTATTTTAAAAAAGAAAAAGAATTTAGATTAAAGCAGCCAGCCAATCAAGCAATATGCATACGATTTTTTTCTTTCCAAAATAGGAAATCTCTGTTTTATTATCTTTACATCTCCTTTGAATAATAAAAACAAACACACCCAAACAATTCAACGTTCTTGGATTCTGTGCAGAAAACTGGGAAGGGGTGATTTGTTCTTTGTAAAACAAAATTGGGGCAGGGGAAAGGTGAAACCAAAAATAGTGCAAAAGAAACCCTGTCAAAACGTATCTTTTTTTAGGGGGTGGAATTGAATGCTCAGAAGATGCCATTCCCCTGCTCTTATTTAAAACTGTCTTGTATAACTCATACAAGAATATCCCATTCTACTGTGCCGTCTCAATGATGAATATTCAACCTGGCTGTCAAACTTCCAATCATATAAAGCACCCCCCGTAACAAACAAGGTATCTTTTAAAAAGATGATTTACCACACATTTGAACTGGCATTAAAGGGCAAAACTACCCAAGTTAAACATTTGTTTCGTCCAGCGTGGAACAAGAGTTACACTCCTAAAGGAAACTGAAATTGTACCAGCACACACCGGTTCCACCCAAACAAAACATTTGCCTCAAGCTTGCAGGATTCCAGTTAGGCTGTTCACCTGCCAAGAGTATAGCCAAGGTAATTTACCCAACTTTACAGGCCTGAATTTCTGCCAAAGACCTCCAACTTTATCAGTTTGGTTCAATACAGCAGACGAGCATTCATGTCCTCTTAAATCACTGGCTTGTGCTTTGACTGAAAAGTAAATTTCACCATTGGCACCCTGTATTATGTTTAGATTTTCGTTTTAAGAGATGTTCCACATGCAGTGGGGCAGGGGGACAGTGCATATGAATAAACACGAATTGTGGCCTTTTTAAAAAATAGACAATGCCGTTAAGGAAACATTGTCCTGGTGTCTGCTGCAACAGAGGAAGCCATAAGAGAGCCAGGGATGGCGTGGCTTAAAGAGGAACAGAGTGGCTGAAATTGCATTGACCCACAGCTAGCAGACAGCAGGCTGCAAACCTGCAGCAACACTTCGCAAGAATCCACTGCAAAACATGGAATCTGGGTGTTCTCTGCTTATATGAAGCGATCGCTATGTGCACAATCGGGTTGCACAATGCGGCAAAGCCACAAGGAGGTGCAAACAGCCCAGTTTGGAGTCCACAACCCCTTCACATCATCAGCCTGCTGCGAACAAGAAACCAGCAGGAATTCACACCTGAAAGTTGCCATAGACCTGGGGTGATTTTAAATGCAATTGGTTCGCTCTGGAAATTTGTCCTCGTAACTAAATCTAGCAGTACCCCAAGGTGAAACTTCAAGCGTTGGCTTGCCTTTTAGAGGCCCGATTGCTTCCTCACAAATTCTACATTTTGGTCCGCCAAGAAATGTACCGCAAGGCGATTCCACATGTCTTGCCTTGTGCAGCCAGGATTGGGTTTAAAGTAAGGAACAGGGTGGTTGAGAGAAGAGGCTACATGTCAGCTCGGCTCAGTTTTAATGATCTATGATACTGACAGTGGCAAGAAACGGGGAGAACTGGTATGTGTCTATGGCATAGCAAAGGGCAGTAAGAAATGGAGGAGGGAGTATCTCTTGGCAGCTTGTTGTCAAGGACAAGTGGGCTGTGTGGCTTGGGCTGTTTCGGCCAAAACGAAACGAAGGATGCCATTTGCTACGTCCAACGTTTCATCTTTCTCCAGCACAATATCATAGGCTTCAAGGTACTTCCCCCGCTGTTCCTCCACCTGCATGGAGAGAGGAAGAGGAAGAGGAGAAGGAGGAGGAAGAAGAAGAAGAAGAAGAAGAAGAAGAAGAAGAAGAAGAAGAAGAAGAAGAAGAATTTATTATACCCCACACATCTGGCTGGGTTTCCCCAGCCACTCTGGGCGGCTCCCAACAGAATGTTAAAAACGCGATAAAACATCAAACATTAAAAATTTCCCTAAACAGGGCTGCCTTCAGATGTCTTCTAAAAGTCAGATAGTTGTTTTATCTCCTTGACATGTGGTGGGAGGGCGTTCCACAGGGAAGGCACCCTCTGCCTGGTTCCCTGTAATCTCACTTGTCGCAGGGAGGGAACCGCCAGAAGGCCCTCAGAGCTGGACCTCAGTGTCTGGGCTGAACGATGGGGGTGGAGACGCTCCTTCAGGTATACTGGGCCAAGGCCATTTAGGGCTTTAAAGGTCAGCACCAACACTTCGAATTGCGTTCAGAAATGTATTGGCAGCCAATGTACATCTTTCAGGACTGGTGTTATATGGTCTCGGAGGCCACTCTGAGTCACCAGTCTAGCTGCTGCATTCTGGATTAGTTGTAGTGTCTGGGTCACCTTCATAGGCAGGATGAATAGGTCTTACAGGCACTCAGCATTGGCTAGCACAGTGTTGTTACAGTGGTTTCCAAGCGGTGTTCTAGCCTGAAGTTACTTCAAAGATCCTCAGGGGTTCCTCCATGAGATCAGCTATTGCTTCCACCCTGCTCTTCATCACCCAAGATGATCCCAGAGGAGCCAGTTACCAATGCCAATAAAATAACCTCTAACCTAACAGTTCAGCCTTGCACTAGAACATGTGTTTTAAAGTTAGTTTAAATTAATCCGCAGGGTTACATTTACTGTTCGTTACGAAATGTGCCGCTTGCCTGCAAGCCTGCAGTTCTCACAAATTCTAGAATGCATTCAGATATCAACAGCAAAAGATCCAGAAAAGGGGGTGTCAGAGTTGAGCATGAGAACTGCAGGCTTGCAAGCAAACTGCATGCTTTGTTTGTTTAGACACTTGAATGAATCTTCATATTTGCCTGTTGCTTTGCCTTATAATCAGCCACCGCAGTGATGCCTTTAACACCAGTTTTGATCTGCAGGTAATAATATATATATCTCCATGTCATAGCTGTCAACTTACAGATTTGAAAATAAGGGACCAGCAGCCTCAAAAATAAGGGATCAGCGGCCAAAATAAGGGATTTTCCCAGCACAGGTATGTTCAGATTCTGAGCCCCTCCGAGCCAAAGGCAGAAAGCCCAGCCAGCAGCCAAACGAAGCCTCAAGTGGCGGTTCCCACAGCGCAGCAACCCGGCAAAGGGGATGCAGCAAGGGAAACCACCGTCACCTCTCCGCTGGGAAGCGCTGAGCAAAGGCAAGTCCCCAGGCAACGCGGCCGATTTGATTGGCACAAGGCATGCAAGCTCCACCCCCCAGTCATTCTTAAACTCCTTATTGGATGAGCAACGCAGCCAAGCAACACAGTTGGAGCCTACCTCCTCCCTGGCCGGCCGGCAGGGAGGGAGGGAGGGAGGGAGAGGAGCTGCTTCCTTTGAAACCCGGGAAATTTAAGGGACATCGTCAATAAGGGACAGCAGCAGGACACAGCACTGGGATAAGGGACTTTCCCGCCAAATAAGGAACAGTTGACAGCTATGCTCCATGCTTTTTTCTGCTAATTTCTGCAGATCAAGCCTTTGTTGGCAGCACAAGAAGGGGTAGGGCACAATCTTTTCATGGTCCAATGGCCACTTTCCCAGCTCTCCAAGTCTGCCACCCGAAAGGGCCATCTCACCTTGTCTCACAGCCCTTCCACAGTCAGCTGTGCCCAACTGGGTAATCCCAACTCACCCTGTCATTCAGGAAGCCAACCCGGAGGATGTTCTCCACATCAACGACACCATCTGCCATACTGAGATCGCCCATGGAATCTCCAAGGAGTAAGATGTTTGTCCTTGTGCACAGCTGCTGGAAATACTCTGTATCCTTCAGGACCGTGTTGTTCTTGTTGTAGGTGTGGATGAGGGGCTCTTTGAAACCTCGCAGAACTCCCTGCATGGAGGACACAAAAACAAATGAGATAAACAAGTCACAGAGATAGGCAGTTTCTGTGTTGCGTTTGTGTGCGGCCAAACTACTCAGCTGTAATTACTTCAAAGTTATTAAGTGTCCTTTTCTTTCTTTTTTAAAATAATTTTTATTAGAAATTTTATTTACAACATAACATAAACCCCCCACCCCCCCAATATAGAAATCTGCCCTCATTAAACATGAACATAACATACAATAAGCATAACATACAACAATACAAACAACCAAATAAAAGACTTCCTTTATCCTGTATCTGGCCTCCTTATTTACTTCTTATAAGCTGTTTCCTTTATGAATAATTATTAAGATTTTTCTAATTATAACTTAAATATCCACAAAGTCTCCTGCAGACATTAATCAAAACAAGTCCAGGGATGTATTTTAGGGCACTGTTTTGTGAAGTATTCTCTGCATTTCCCCCATGCTTTTTGAAACTCTTGTCTAGTGTGATCTCTAATTGCCTCTGTTAATCTAGCCAGTTCAATATACACTAACAGTTTGTCTTGCCATTCCATTTTTGTTGGCACAATTTTGTTTTTCCAATTTTTAGCAATTAGGATCCTTGCTGCTCCTGTGGCATAGAAGAATATCTTCTGATCTTCTCTTGCTATACCTGTGCCGTTATCCCCAGTAGAAAAGCTTCTGTATTTTTCATAAAGTTATACTTAAACATTTTTTTAAGCTTGTTATATACTATGTTCCAGAAGCTTTTGATTTTTTCACAGGTCCAGTGTCCTTTTCAATTTACAAATCATTTCATCTGAAGCTTATCCAGGCAATTTCACAATAAACACCTATATAAAAACAGTTAAAACAATTGCATGTACAGAAATGCTTTGAGATCCAACACAAATAGAAATCTCCTCTTAGAAAGCTCACTGAAAAAGCAAAGTCTTTAAGTTACCATTCTTCTTTAGTTGGGACTTTGCTCAATTTCCATTTGGGGGCTAACTAAACACCAGAAGCAGTAGTGGCATGCATAAATAACCTTTTTTAACACTGGGAATTCCCTAGCAACTTAAACTGATGGAAAATGTGCAGCTTGCAGACCTAACATATAGAATAAGCGAACACGAGGAACATACATTTAAAGAAGATTGAAAAATGTTTTTTGAATATATATGGAGGAAAATTGTGTTTATTTGAAAACATGGGCAGCATTAAGATAAATTCAACAGTGTAAATAAGTTTTGATGGATGTAATCAGTGCTTTTTTTGTGTGTGGGGGGGGGGAACGCAGAGGGACGCATACCCCTAAACATTTTGTGAATCTAAGTTTGGCCTCATTGAGGGGCAGTATTTCAATATGAGTAGGAAAATGAGAGTAGCCCTAAACGTTTTTTAAGAAAAAAGTTTTAATGGATGTAATAATGGAATACTGAATGGTTTAGTTTATATAAAATATGCAGGGATTTATGTTTTGTAAAATGAACCATGGAAAGAGAAGAAGGGAAGTCACTGAAATTTTAAGGTTGGTTAATTGAATATTCTAAAATGTAAAACAGAAAATTTAATAAAAATTATAGAAAAAAGAAAAGGAAAAGGAAAGTCTTGCACAGATGCTGAATGGACAACAGCCTTGGTGCTTCTTCGAAGCACCTTATCTACATCCTCAGGCCTCAACGACTTAAACTGATCCCACAAAACTGGCCTAGACATTGCATTGGACGCTTCACCCAAATTTGTCACAAATATGGAATCCGAGTCATCACAGAGATAAGTGATTTTACCTTCAAAGTGCTTAGCAAACATCTCACAGCACACCTCCAAGGGTTCAAGTACCCTCATCACCAGGAAAGTGTGAATAAACTCCAAAATTCTCCAAACAGCACTGGTGGACAACTACTTGATGATACAACAATAATAATTTTATTCTTTGTACCCTACCCATCTGACTGGGTTGCCCCAGTCACTCGGTGGTTTCCAGCATATACAAAAAAATAACAAAACATTAAACATTAAAAACTCCCCTATACAGCAAAATGATTCCTCACTTGGATGTAGTAAACATGAATACGTCCTATAGCGCCTGTTCAGTCATCTTTGTGACAAATTATCCGCCATATGCACTTAAAGCTCTCATCCAGCTTATTTCTTTGCTCATGCTCTTCGCTGAACAGCACCAGAGAGGTGTGGTTGTGTTGATGGCTCAATGAGAGCTGGGACCGAGTCTCTCATAAATAATTTTTATCACTACAACCGTGGGACATGGGTGGCGCTGTGGGTTAAACCACAGAGCCTAGAACTTGCCGATCAGAAGGTCGGCGGTTCGAATCCCCGCGACGGGGTGAGCTCCCGTTGCTCGGTCCCTGCTCCTGCCCACCTAGCAGTTCGAAAGCACATCAAAGTGCAGGTAGATAAATAGGTACCGCTCCGGCGGGAAGGTAAACGGCGTTTCCATGCGCTGCTCTGGTTCGCCAGAAGCGGCTTAGTCATGCTGGCCACATGACCCGGAAGCTGTACGCCGGCTCCCTCAGCCAATAAAGCGAGATGAGTGCCGCAACCCCAGAGTTGGTCACGACTGGACCTAATGTTCAGGGGTCCCTTTAGCTTTACCTATCACTACAACCACAATTCTGCTCATCCCGGTAGAGACTGGGAGTTTCTGGCTGACCCCAGAAGGCACACACCTGCCTTCCATTTATCCTGTCCTATTAATACCATCCCAAAACTTTCTAAGCCCCCCACACACAGTGTTCAGACTGGCACACCGCTTCCATGCCAGGGCAGATAGGAGTTGGGGGAAGTGAAGTGGGCTCAACTCACGCTGTCGTCAAAATCCATGTAGTTGGAGACCACGTTGACATTGGGATAGAACGCCCCAGCCTGGTGAATTATCTCCTCTAGCACATCACCCACACCTGCCGAGAAGATGAAGAGGGGTACTTTGTTCTGGTGAAGCTGGTCAAATAAGATGTTGAAGCCGTCTCTGAATGCAAGAAAGAGAGGAAGCGTAATGTTCGACTGAAATGGTGAAACACACAAAGCTATTTCCATTCATGGCTCACTAAACCACGGCTTACTGCAATGTCCGAACACAGTCAGAATATTGCAGTGATTAAATTAACCAATTCGTATGTATGCATGGTTTTTCAAAATAGGAATTATACAATATAACAATGGGAAACTCGATTTAAAGCAATTATTTTAACACAACGTTTTGCTTGGCAATTATTTTAACACCAAGTTTTTGCTTATTATTTTAGTTGCCTTGAATGCACCCTGCTATAGGGATACGGCACACGTTACATGGGACAAACCCACTTTTGACTGGTAGGAAGCCGCCATCAATCCTAGATCACCAACTAGTGTACGTGCATGAGACACACTTCTTGTAATCACGATTTACATATTAATTGTGCAGTTAACTAAAAAAAAAAATGAATCTGTGGAGAGATCCTTGGATAAGCCTCTGTCTCCTCAACCCCTTCCACAAGGATAATAAAGCTGGCCTACCCTACTACCCTAAATATTAATAAATGTGAAATGCTTTGAATACATCGAACATGATATATAAATGCTATCATTTGTGACAGAACAACTGCCTTTCAGGCTCTGGCTGCTTCTCCCTCGTTTATGGCTTCCAGTCCTGCTTCTCTCTCAAATCTCCCCATCCACAGTCATGTTTTCCCTTGCCATAGCTGGCCTATGACTGCTAATAATAATAATAATAATAATAATAATAATAATAATAATAATTTATTTGTACCCCACCCATCTGGCTGGGTTTCCCCAGCCACTCTGGGCGGCTTCCAGCAAAACACTAAAATACAATAATCTATTAAACATGAAAAGCTTCCCTAAACAGGGCTGCCTTCAGATGTCTTCTAAAAGTCTGGTAGTTGTTTTTCTCTTTGACATCTGGTGGGAGGGCGTTCCACCTGGTGGGTGCCACTACCGAGAAGGCCCTCTGCCTTGTTCCCTGTAACTTGGCTTCTCGCAAGTTTAAAATATCTGCATTCTGTGTGTCAAGTAGGCGTGTGAAAAATCAGCAAGCCCTCAAACTCCGGAATACAATAGCACACTTCAATTTCAAATGTCAAAATTCTACCTTGGCCTGACAGCAAATTCAGGAAGGGTTGAGGCAGAGGAGGACACAGACCACAAAAATAAAGTTGTTCCCCCATCCCACCTCCCCACCTCTTCTTGCACACAACATGCAAATTTTGTACCTGAGCATGACATCCGACTCTTTCACAACCTGGGCAATATCGCTTTTCTTTATCTTCTGTTGAGCCAGGAGGTCGTGGGCCTTAGTCCACCTGTAACACACACACCTGTCCTATCAGGGACCAGGAGTCCTCTGTGGGTGTATCTATTGAGCTTACAGAACCTCTAGTTAGTTTGTTTCTCCAGACACATGAGCGATTCTCGTGTTTGCTTGACCACCACAAATCAGACCTGTCTCAGGTGGTGTGCCTGTGCCCCCGATCCCTTTTAAGATCCTCAAAACTCTCATTAATGGTGGAAATGTAAAGAAAAGGAAGGTACGTTTTATCACATGTGGTGGACATGTCCCAAGGTGAAAGACTTCTGGGGAAAGATTTATAATGAGTTGGGGGGAAAATGTTGAAATATACATTTATTAAAAAGCCAGAAGCCTTTCTACTTGGAATAGGTTTGGAATTGCCCAAGAAAGATTTTAGACTGTTTTTGTATGCCACAACTGCAGCAAGAATTTTGTTAGCCAAAAACTGGAAATTACAAGAAATACCAACAGTGGAGGAATGGCAGATGAAGATGATGGACTTTTTGGAGCTGGCCGACCTGACTGGAAGAATCCGCGAACAGAAAGAGGAGGAGCATCAAGAAGAATGGAAGAATATCAAGGACTATTTAGTTAAATATTCTAAGATAACGTAAGTAGAATTACTTGTAAGTACCAAATTGGCCTAGGAGTAAAATATGCTGAATTGTACAACATTTTGGATTGAAAATATTATGAAAAGAAAAGAAGATGTTAATTGAATAAGTTAATTTTATTTGAAAGTGGATATTGGAAAACTGCTACAATGAGTTCTAAGGAAACTCAGCTAGGGCGGATTCGAGGAAGTCATCTAAAAATGATATTTAAATTAGGATTTTAACAGCTAGGATATAACGTATTTTTTGCTCTTTAAGACTCACTTTTTCCCTCCTAAAAAGTAAGGGGAAATGTGTGTGCGTCTTATGGAGCAAATGCAGGCTGCACAGCTACCCCAGAAACCAGAACAGCAAGAGGGATTGCTGCTTTCACTGCACAGCGATCCCTCTTGCTGTTCTGGCTTCTGAGATTCAGAATATTTTTTTTCTTGTTTTCCTCCTCCAAAAACTAGGTGCGTCTTGTGGTCTGGTGCGTCTTATAGAGCGAAAAATACGGTATGTTTGTTCAGGGGTTTTTATATTGTAATGTTTTTCTTTTATGTTTGTTATAAAATTGGGAAATTAATAAAAAAAATTGGGGGGGGGGGACTCTCATTAATGGAGTTGGTGTGTGTGTGTTCTGTAACGGAAGAAAGCACCCTTCCTCCCCGTTAAGGAAAACATCACCTCCTCTGACACAAATACTCACCATTCTATCATGAGGGGCAACTTGTCCTCCATGGTCCGGTAAGGATCAATTTCAATAGGGTAGTAATGTTGGAGCAGATCTTTTAGCTGGAACAGTCCCCAGTATCAAGAAAAGGAAGGGGGGATATTTAGCTAGTCAGAAGATAAAACACGCACATTTCAAGGTGGAGGTTTTCCAAGATGGAGGTTCTGGCTAGGACTGGGACAACCAACTGCATAGCCTGCTCCCCATCATATTAGGAGGATGGGATGGGTATTGATCGTTAGCCAGTACTTTCCGGGTACAGTCCCCCAAGGGGGTGGGCGACAGAAACAGGAAAAGCATCTTCATGTTATCTGTTATTTGGTTTCTTGCTTGGGGGACTAGTTGCAGGGAAGTCAAACCTACACGGAGACTGTAGAATCGAGGGAACCCAAAAAGTCATTCATGAGGTCTTAACCTCTCAATAGAAGGAATGGAGAATTCTCTGTTTCAAAACCTTAGTCCCCTCATAGAACCCAAGGCTCCTTGAGCTCCTAACAGCAGGAGGGAATGGAACTAGGAAGTCAGTTTAAAATATCAGCATGCCAAGATATGAAAGCTCATACCTTTTTCTTGCCTTCTTCGCTGATGACCCGGCTGTTATCTATGATATCTGAAGAGACACACACAAAAATATATGCCGAACTCCAAATATCGAATGCATTTTTATAAATGCTGTATTAAGGTCTGGTTAACTACTATAACAATTATTATTTTTGTCATGTATACCATTTTTAGTAACATTTTGGTTCCCCACATCAAATATGGAAAATAACACCATCCCGAGGTCTAAATCTAGTATCTGACCCGTGATAAGCCCAATTTTGTAAAATATTGTTTTCTAGAATTTTTGCAGCTTCTCCCAGGACCACCACTTGTGAAAGTATTTACTCAGGTACCATCTGCAAACAACTCTGAATCAGTTTACTCTCATTTGGGGTCAGTGTTCGAAATTAGCCAGAAGCCAAAATTAACTAATAAACTGAAACTGACACGGGGACAAACAGAAGAAGACGCCTTCACCCCGGTATGGCTCCCCTTTATCACATACACAGCCCAACAGGACAATGACAAAGATCCACCAACAGCATACAAATCAATATGGCTAACCTGATCCAAAACACCCACCCACCTCACTCACACACGAAAACAAAGATCACCATAGCCAATCACAAGCAAACAATCACACCCTAGGCCAACCCCAACCTCTCTCACCACCAAAGGAACACAAGTGAACAACACAAGCAACGCTGACACCAAACTCTACATACATTAAGCATAATAGAAACACTGCCACCCGACCCCACCCCCAACCATCTCCCCTCCCTCCACCCCCCTTTCTTTTTTTTTCTTTTTTTTTCTTCTCCCCCTAATGCCTCAACAAATGAAATGGATTTGTAAAAATGTTACATAGGAAAAAAAATACGAGGCATTACACTTACCTCTGTAAAACAAGAAAATCCTTAATAAAATATTTATTAAAAAAAATAGCCAGAAGCCAGGCGCATTTTGCACCCAGCTATTGACCACTTGCGACCAAGTGCAGATGCCTCGGTGCCAGAATGGTGCCTGACGTCTCCACCATCTGGAGCATCATGGCATCTAGACTACTTTCACACACTAATACCACATCCGGTAGAATTCTATCATTTATATTTTATATGCGCAATCGGAATGAATTTCAGGAACCAAAATGCTTTTTCTGTGCAGCCTGAGCAAGAGCAGTGAGCAACGTTATAGTTAATTGTTCTAACTTACCCCCGCTCCCACTGCCCTTTTCATGGTGGTGAATAATATTCTTATGTTATGAATGGTCCATGTCACCATTTTTTAAAAGAAGAGATAGAAATAGGCCAATATATATGTGGACTGTCCCAAAGGCTTGGAGGGACCAAGAGGGAGAGATAAAAGTCAGTGGTGTTTTACAAGAGAAAGATGAAATAGCAAAGGGCCAAAACTGGACTCACTGTAGGAAGTAGGGCAGCGCCGACCGTTGAACCCGAACCGAGTCAGAGTCATGTCAAAATCAGAAATGACCTGGAGAGAACAAGGAGGGAAAATGAGAGAGAGAGAGAGAGAGAGAGAAAGAGAGAGAGAGCGATTACAAGGGATTCATTGCCTAGCCCAAGAAACTACTCTACACATTCAGGGAACCAAGAATGTGGTTACCAAGTAATCTCAGGTGGGCAGCCTTCAGGCCTTCAATGCAGCCTGCCACTGCTACCATCACCACTGCTGAATTTGTCAAGTGTCACTCAGTTAGCTCATCATTCAGCTGATGGAGCTGCCTGCATGGAATGTGATTTAAATGTGGAGGAAGGTGATCTCCCCATTTGCACAACTACACTCTCTTCAGCCTGCCCATTTGTTGTTTGGTGGGCTAAGGGACGATTCCCAGTGCCTATCAACTGGGGAGGTGGGAAGGCACGATGGAATCTCTGCACATCAAGTGATTCCATCCAGTGATTGGTGCTTCACACTAAACAGGCTCAAAACTGAGACCGAGAAGGAACCAAATAAATTCTAAAGTTACAGTGGGCTGGAGTCATTCCAAGTTGTCCTGTCAAACCGTCAAAACATTTGGGTTTTTTTGCAGCAACGTCACAGGATGCCATGTTTCGTTTACAGAGGGAAACTCTGCTTCAGACAGATAATAATATGCCAATATAACCTTGTTTCTTCTTGCTTTGAAGAAAGCAAGATCTAGCATAAACTAGTCAGGCAGTGGCCGGTAAATTCAATACATCTTCACCCGAGCTAAAGCAAATTACCTTCAAATAAGTGCAATTTTAAGAAAGAAATAAAAGTCTATGTTACCATTTACTACAATTGTTGTGCTTTGGTGACACATGACAAATGAGTCCATTCAATTTTTGCCACGGTTTCATTTTAGCATTTCTATAGCTCCTATATCTATGTGTAATAAAGTTTTGGCTGTTGGTGAGTGTTAGTCTGCCAACTGCTCTTAAATCACTTCTCTGATGCAGGCTGGAGAGATACCAGCAGAAAGCATTAAGTTAACAGAACTTGTTTGGGGGACCTGACTTTTCACATGAAATCCAGATGATCCCCAAATTGCCATATTTCCCAAGAAACAACTTTAAGGAGAAGGCTTTCTCCGTGCAGAATGTTAAGGCCTTCACGGTTACCTATATGCTTAAACAGTCTGAGCACTTCATTAAGCCCATGCTGTTCTCATCATTTGACAGGCATTTCACTAGTAAATAGACAAAGACAAAAACCAGGCAGCGCCTGAGGTAAAAATTTGTTCTGAGGTTCATGCAGCTGCTTGTGCAATACATCTGGGAAGAAGATGGGTGGGAGGGATAAATTAAGGGTACAACAAACAGCAGACAAACAGATGAATACAGGAGCACGCACCTGGAATTTTCCTACCCCACCTTTTCTGAGGGCTGAAATTACATTTTTTACGCGTTCAGGATCCTTCATTCGGACAGTCGCTTTCTCCAGCTCAGGCACCTAGGGAAAGACACAGCACATGACATTTTCAACAATGCGTGTTCTGTTATTTTTTTATTTACAGTGGTGGCACTGTGGGTTAAACCACAGAGCCTAGGACTTGCCGATCAGAAGGTCGGCAGTTTGAATCCCCACGATGGGGTGAGCTCCCTTTGCTCAGTCCCTGCTCCTGCCAAGCTAGCAGTTCAAAAGCACGTCAAAGTGCAAGTAGATAAATAGGTACTGCTCCGGTGGGAAGGTAAACGGTGTTTCCGTGCGCTGCTCTGGTTCGCCAGAAGCGGCTTAGTCATGCTGGCCACATGACCCGGAAGCTGTACGCCGGCTCCCTCAGCCAATAAAGCGAGATGAGCGCCGCAACCCCAGAGTCAATCACGACTGGACCTAATGGTCAGGGGCCCCTTTACTACATTTCTGTAGTGCTACATTTCTGTACTAGGGCCCTCAATAGCAATACGGTTATTGAGCCCCTAGCACAGAAAAGCAGCACATATAAATGACATGCAAATAATACACATTGTTAAAAGCGGAGCGTATAAGTGATATGCAGCATTCATGCTATATAAAGGTCAGCATAAATATAAAACTACAGTTAAAAATAAATAATTAAAAACAGCAGAGCCTTTTAAAATGACATTTACTAAAAAAACAGAAGCCCTTTTGATTGGAATTTTAGGACAACTGCCAAAAGAAAAACAGACATTATGTGACGACAGTGGCAAGAATTCTGATAGCACAGACTGGAAGACTGGAGAAATACCATCAAAGGAACAATGGCAAGAGAAGTTAATGAACTATGCAGAGTTGGCAAAGTTAACAGATTAACTACATGAAAAAGACAATAGTGACTTTGAAAAAGAATGGGAACCTTTTACATCATATTTGCAGAAAAAAAACAAAAAAATAGAGTCATTGGCAGGATTTAAATAAACATTGGCAATTTTATTTATAAAAAAAACAAGAAACTTAATAGTACGACAATACAGAAGTATATATAAACAGCAGGATGTAATATGAGATGTAATAAACGAGGGATGGAAGTTGAGGGAAGTCAGCAGGGAAGGGGAAAATTGAAACCTGAATGTAATGTAATGATTACAGATATTGTAAAAATGAAAAACCCAATAAAAATGAATTTTAAAAAACAAAACAGCAGAGTCTTTAAAAAAAAAAAAGCAGCTGAATAAGAATTATCTCAGTGGGCCAATAAGAAAGTCTTCACTTTTTGATGTAAAGTTTAACAGAGAGGGCTAACTTGACCTCCTTGGGAAGAAAGACCCAAAGCCCAAGCACACCCACAGCATCCCAAATGCAAGCATGGAGTACACAGGTGTGTTTGTGGGTACCTTTCTGCCCAACTTGCTGCTACTCTGAGGAGTCAGTGCCAAGTTGCAGAGAAGGCCAAAGCCTCAAAGGGTTTGAGGGACTTGGACAAATTGGCATTGGGAGCCAATGGGAAGAGAGCAAGTCAAATCCTCGCCTGCGGGCTTTACTCTCCCATAGCCCAACCCAGAAAATTCCTGGCCCCCTCTTGTCTTCTTGACCGTCTTGCAAAAGGACACCATTTCTCTTCTCCAACCTGCACCCTCCACTTCCCAAGGACCTCCCTGCACTTCCTTCCAAGACCTTCAGCCTTCCCTGAAAGACCCCTGGGACTACAACTTCTACTATCCCTATTTAATTGGCAGGCTGATAGGAACTGGAGTCCATCAACATCTGGATTCCCAACCTCTACTTCCAAAGGCTCCTTGCTTTTCCTCCATTCCTCAGTTGCACCAACAAACAAGCACCTAGAGCAGCCTTTCTCAACTTGTGGGTCCCCAGATGTTGTTGGACTACAACTCCCATCACCCCTAGCTAGCAAGGCCAGAGCTCAGGGATGATGGGAGTTGTAGTCCAACAACATACGGGGACCCACAGGTTGAGAACCGCTGACCTAGAGTATTCATCCTTAGTATTTTGTTGTGTTGTTGTTGCTGTTGTTGTTTAGTCGTGTCCGGCTCTTCGTGACCCCATGGACCAGAGCACGCCAGGCACTCCTGTCTTCCACTGCCTCCCGCAGTTTGGTCAAACTCATGTTAGTAGCTTCAAGAACACTGTCCAACCATCTTGCCCTCTGGCGTCCCCTTCTCCTTGGGCCCTCCATCTTTCCCAACATCAGGGTCTTTTCCAGGGAGTCTTCTCTTCTCATGAGGTGGCCAGAGTACTGGAGCCTCAGCTTCAGGATCTGTCCTTCCAGTGAGCACTCAGGGCTGATTTCCTTCAGAATGGAGAGGTTTGATCTTCTTGCAGTCCATGTTCTGCTTTAAATCTCCCACCACGTTCACCAAGGGGAAAGACCTATAACAATCTAATTTCCCCCCTCCTCATCCCCAGTCACGGACCCCCCACGATTCCACCCCAGAGACCCTCTCTCTCCTCAAACCACGTGAACTTGACCCCACAAACCTGACCCGCCCCCCTCCCAGGTCACCTTGCATCATGGCAGCTGGCTTAGCAGAGCCTAAGCTACAAGATCGGGTCACTGCCAGCTTGAATTTGCACAAGCCACTCCCTCTCTCTCTCTCGGCTTTAGCCTCCACCCATCCTGTCTGCAATGGGGGGGGGTTGGGGAAATAACACTGGCCTACCTTACAGGGTTGTTGTAAGGATTACATAACTATAATATCATAAGCAAAGCAAAAGCTGCTCTTGACAGCTGTCTCCCTGGCACAGAATCCGCTCAGCTCCCTCCAGCGTTTGCCGACCTCCTAATAAAGAAGGGGAACTCACGCCCCCCAAACAGCTGCTTTCCTGGACCCCACCCCCTCCTTCATACTAAACACCCGCCTTATGAAAAGTTCAGCCCCTAATTCTGCCATATAAACACACCCCATACTCTGTTTGGACAAGCCCAAGGCCGCCTCCAAAAGCCGCATCCCAGTTGTGGCTCATAAAGTGGGTTCCCAACATCTCCCCCCACCCCCCAAAACCCCCCACACACAACCCAACACACTTCCGCCTTCCCAAACCTCACCCTACAAAACGAGCATATTCATAGCCGATGGTAGGGGAGATGGCTTGGAAGCGCTGTGCAATTTGCTTTGCAGCCAAAACCCCTCCCCAGATCTTGAATTAAAGCACCTCGTGTTTTTGGAACGCGTATTCTCCGACGGCTTGCAAAAAAAAAGAAAAAAGCGCATTTTAGCAAAGCCACCTCCTTTTCCCGCCCGCCTTCCCCAGGATCTAACCATGATCTTCGCCCAGCAAGCCGTCCACGGACTACGAGGAGTTTTGTAACTGGGATCGAGAATGGAGAAAGCCGGAGAAGGAAGGAGAAGAGGGAGGTCTCCTTCCCTGAGCTGGGCTGGGCTCCGCAGGCGCCTCCTTCCTGCGTCTCCGCCCCTCGGGGTCTGGGCCGAGTTCTTGGCTGCTGCTGCTGCTGGCCGAGATCCGGGGAGAGGTTTCCTCCAAGCTGCTTCGATCGCGGCCGGGTTGCTCGCTGCATTTCCCGCCCCCAAACCCCACTCCGCCCCCGGGGATGCGGGTGAGGCATCTGGGGTCACCCTGCCTTTAGTTCCACCCCGGGCGGAGTTGCCGCCTGCAAGATCCCGATAACCGGACCTTCTCGCTCTCGCGCGCAGCTACGCGGCAGCTTAATGTGAGCCAGTGCGTGCGAGGTTCCTATTAGTGGCATTGCCAGACTCAAAAAGTCAGATTTAAGCATGGGTAGGCAAACTAAGGCCCGGGGGCCGGATCCGGCCCAATCGCCTTCTAATTCCGGCCCGCGGATGGTCCGGGAATCAGCGTGTTTTTACATGAGTAGAATGTGTCCTTTTATTTAAAATGCCTCTCTGGGTTATTTGTGGGGCCTGCCTGGTGTTTTTACATGAGTAGAATGTGTGCTTTTATTTAAAATGCATATCTGGGTTATTTGTGGGGCATAGGAATTCGTTCATATATATTTTTCAAAATATAGTCTAGCCCCCCCCCAAGGTCTGAGGGACAGTGAACTGGCCCCCTGCTGAAAAAGTTTGCTAACCCCTGGATTTAAGGAATGATCCCTCAGCCAAAGTGAAGCACCTGATAGACAGACAGACAGACAGATAGATATTGGCAGGCATTCATTTGTCTCTTCTATTGTGATTTGCAAAGAGATCTGGTTAACTACAATGACAATTTTTCTTCTTTTTTTGGCACCGTACACAGTATCTTTTGTTTTCTACATGGGTTGTATTTCTTGCTTTTTCTTCTTACCTTACTCTGTGCACTTGTGGTTTTGTAGTTGTTTCCCCCCCCCTCCCATAAAGCATATAAAATAGCATTTGCAAAGGGATTTTTTATTTTAAGGGCTGCATCGTTCCATTAGGAAACAACCGAGCGGATGATTAAATAAGTGCCTCCTCCCTCTCACGTGGAAATCCTTCCCAAAATCCTTAAGGCCAGGAAGTAGGAAAAGAGGAAATGCCGTCTGCGCTGGGATCACTGTTTTGCACTGTGTTTCTAAGGGCCGATGAAAGATGTCCAGGCTGAACAGCGGCGCAACCCAAGACCTGCCTCTGCTCTGTTTATTTCTTCCGAAGGCTGGAAGGTGTTCGAAGTGTACTTACCGGTAGTCCAAAACAGTGTGTAGTTCGCCCTGGAGGCTGTAGGTGTCGCAGAAGAGCAGGCAAGCTGGCCCCGCCACGTGACACTTCCTCCCTCTACATACCACCTTTGCTTGTTCCAAGTGCAGGTCCTGCTCCAGATTCTCCACGTGGACGTCTATGGGGGAAGGTGAAAGGGCCATAGCTCAGTGGAATCTCAGACTCCTGCCTGAGTCTCTCGGAGGATGTCTCAAGCAGGTCACCAAGCAAGATGGGCCAGAGGGTTTGACTCAATTCACTGCCTTTCATTATGAAAACCAAGGAATTCTAGGCCAAGAATTCTGAAGGTAGGCCTGTTTAGGGGAGCTTTTAATGTTTAACACACTATTGTATTTTAATATTTTGTTGGAAGCCACCCAGAGTGGAACCCAGCTGTCAATATAAACATGTTTGTTTGGAGTAAGGTAAAGGGACCCCTGACCATTAGGTCCAGTCATGACCAACTCTGGGGTTGCGGCACTCATCTCGCTTTATTGGCTGAGGGAGCCAGTGTACAGCTTCCGGGTCACGTGGTCAGCATGACTAAGCTGCTTCTGGCGAACCAGAGCAGCGCACAGAAACGCTGTTTACCTTCCCACCGGAGTGGTACCTATTTATCTACTTGCACTTTGACGTGCTTTCGAACCGCTAGGTTGGCAGGAGCGGGGACCAAGCAATGGGAACTCACCCTGTCGCGGGGATTTGAACCGCCGACCTTCTGATCGACAAGTCCTAGGCTCTGTGGTTTAACCCACAGCGCCACCTGCGTCCCTCAAACCCAGGTGTCAATATAAACATGTTTGTTGGAGTACGTACACCAAATCTGCTAAAACCAGTGCTTTTTGTTCTTATGGGTACTCCCAGAAGAGAATTTCAGACTTTTGCGCTTTTTATAGAAACATTCTAAATTCCTATATGCTTGCCAATACTGGATTTATTGCACCCCAATAGCTTGGAGCTAGACTAATTTTCCATAGGCCTCGTTATGATCAATAGAAACACAGAATTACAGAGTTGGAAGAGACCCCGAGGATCATCTAGTCCAACCCCCTGCAATGCAGGAATATGCAGTTGTCCCATACAGGGATCAAACCTGCCATCTTGATGTTAGCAGCACCATGCTCTAACCAACTGAGTTATCCAGGCTATGTGAAAACTTAAGTTCATTATGACTAACTTCACATTGATTTCAATGAAACCAAAGTGCAACTAATTTAATTGCAGTCCAACCCACAGTAATTTGCTAACATAAGACAGCTTGGACAGGTAGGCTAAGCCAGTGTTTCCCAACCGGTGTTCCGCGGCACACTGGTGTGCCGTGAGACCTTGCCTGGTGTGCCGTGGGAGGGAGGCGGGAGAGGCGGCGCCTGAGATCGCTTCTCCCCACCGCCCCTTGCTTCAAAAGAGGTCCGGGGACAGCGGGAAGCGCTTCGCGCTGCCCCCGGACCTCTTTTGAAGCAAGGCTTTGCGGGGAGAAGCGATCTCCCCGCAGCCCCTTGCTTCAAAAGAGGTCCGGGGGCAGCGGGAAGCGCAGCGCTTCTTCCCCGCTGCCCCCGGACCTCTTTTGAAGCAAGGGGCTGCGGGGAGATTGCTTCTCCCGCTGCTCCGAAGCGGGGCGGGGGGGCGGGAACACCTGCCCCAGCCGCCCCGCTTCGGAACGCTGCTCCGAAGCGGGGCGGGGGGGCGGGAACACCTGCCCCAGCCGCCCCGCTTCGGAACGCTGCTCCGAAGCGGGGCGGGGGGGGTCAGGAACACCTGCCCCAGCCGCCCCGCTTCGGAACGCTGCTCCGAAGGGGGCGGGGGGGGGGGAACACCTGCCCCAGCCGCCCCGCTTCGGAACGCTGCTCCGAAGCGGGGCGGGGGGGCGGGAACCTCGCACCCCGCCGCCGGGCATCTGAACGAGGTCCTGGACCTCTTCTGAAGGCAGGCGGGGGCAAAAGTCTTTGCTCCCCCCGCCTGCCTTCCCGGGACAGCGGAGACTTCTCCGCTGCCCCGGGCGATCTTAAAATGCTGGCGGGCGGGAGCGAAGCGTTCGCTGCCGACCCCCAGCATTTTAAAATCTCCTCGGGGCAGCGGAGACTTCGCTCCCGCCCGCCAGCATTTTAAAATCGCCCCGGGACAGCAGGGGCTTTTAAAATGCTGGCGGTCGGCAGCAAAGCCCTCCTGTCCCCGGAGCTTGCGGGGCGGGAGGTGGGAAGAAGGGCTTTTCTTCCCACCGCCAGCCTTCAGAACAGCCTTCTGAAGGCTGGCAGTGGGAAGAAAAGCCCTTGTCCCCCCCCCCCCCAGCCTTCAGAAGAGGTCGGGGGACAGACTGTCCCCGGACCTGATCTGAAGGCGGTTTCCCTAGGAACGCATTAATTGATTTTCAATGCATTCCTATGGGAAACCGTGCATCGCAAGACGAAAAACTCGCAAGACGAAGAGACTTGCGGAACGAATTAATTTCGTCTTGCGAGGCACCACTGTACTTTTTATATAGTCAATATAGGCACAGAGTTAATTTTTTTAACATTTTCTAATGGTGGTGTGCCTCGAGATTTTTTTCATGAAAGAAGTGTGCCTTTGCCCAAAAAAGGTTGGGAAACACTGGGCTAAGCTTTTGTCAATTTTCTACAGCTACAAGACTGACAAAATGATGAATACCGAACATTCCCAGTCACTATCTTTGATGCAGTCCATTTTATTTCATTCTTCTTGTCCAAGTGACCAAAACTGGGATAAAAAATGGGGACTGAAGACTTTCCTTCATGGCTGAAGAATGCCCCAACCACAAGCTGAATTTGAAAGCAGGAGACAAATGGGATCTAAATTCCCCAGACTGTTGGGGAATACTGTTCTGGAACACATCCATAAACAATTATGAGCAATAACATGAAGCAGTCAGAACAGAAATAGAGAAATAAAATGTTTATTGAGATCAAGTTTAGTGTTACAGAACCGTAGTACAACATATATTGATTTGCAGGTTTAAAAAATAGACTTTAGGGACATAGCTTCCAAAGGACTCTAACCAAAGGGATGGATGTCTGCATTTCATTATATGAAGCTTATGTTACCCAGTTTATTAAGCAGCAGACACAAGGCAAATTGGGGCTGGAATGAGGAAGGAAGAAAGAAAAAAACCATGTGTTGTTTTCGAGGTTCACTGATCCATGAGAGATTATTGGGACTACCAACTAACTTTTAGACTTACATTCAACGCCACCTTAACTGGGCTCAGGGGAAGCAAGGAGAAAAATGGCTTCCAACTAGGATAGCTTTGTGGCAAGTGTCCCAGAAATAGGGAGGCGGAACAGACTGATGTGCCTACCGCCAATTCAGCTTGGCTTCTGTGAGCAGATGTTTCCCTGGAATACTACTATTATTATTATTAAATGATAGGCGCTCATACTAGTAGCACTTCTATGTGGCCTCCTAAAAATGGACTACTGGTCACACTGCAAATACTGGTATCTTAATTTTTATATATGAATTCTGCCCTCCTGTGGTTAGAGGCTGCAGCAAGCACAGAGGAGTCATTCGTGGCAATGTTGCAGAGATTACAGAAATAACATTGCGCTGACATGACTGTTAACTCTCACTGTGCAAGGGTAAGCCTCACAGAAATACACAGACACAAGACAGATGTTTAAATCTACTAATGGAAAGACTATGTAACCTACAGACAGTATTACTTCAGTAATAATGTCAGCTCAGGCATCAGAGAAAGATCTAGCTGTGTCCACTAGCATCACAAGAGGAAGGCAGTGTGTGAAACATGCATTCAGCCATAGCAGAGAATCAGTACAGCTTAAGAGAGATTGTTTCCCCAAGTCTGACAGCTGGCATGCTTGCCTGTTCTGTAACTCAACTGCAATTTTCTTGACGTCTTTTAAGTTGCTGAGAACAAAAGGACTTATCTATGGTGAGTAGCCCTATCGTAGCCAGCGTAGTTACGTCCAGTGATTTGGGACTCTCAGTGATGTTTAGTAATGTAGCCTACAGCTGTCAATCTTCACCAACTGGGAGTAATCTGGATGGTCCAACAGGATTTCCCTTTGCCAGGCAACAATAATTATCAACTGCTGTGTTTCATCAAGGAATGACATGACTAAGTAGATAGGACTTTTGCATGCAGCACATGAGCTGTGCTATTCAGGGGGGCTAAGAGGCACTCAGAACAACGGAGCAAGTTAGTAGCCTAACATCCAGAGTATACATTAAGAAGTCCCAACATTTAACACTACATGTGGAACAATGGGACTGTTCTCTAGTGTGCTCTTAACTCTCCATGCAAACAGAAATCTCAAAACAAGACATGTAGACACTTGTATACTAAGTGACTGGCATTCACAAGCAACATCCAAAGTGACATAGGATTTAATTTAAAAAGCAAAGCTTACCAGCCAGACTGAACAACTGCACAGATACAGTACACAGTCAATATGATTATACTCTTTTGTGGTGACTACCAACCATTCTGCACGGCAGGCCAAGGAAATCTCAAAACTTGTGTTGCATTTCAGCTAGTGTTTCATTTAACAGACACACACAGGGCCGTGTCTCCACTACGAGCTTAAACTGCTTAAAGTCTCATTGCTTTTCCCATTCAATCCTGGTGCTGTAAGAAATTTCTAACATACAACATTCAGACCTTGTAAAAATACAATTCCCATTTTTAAAGTTTGTTTTCCATATAGATGCATCCAAAATTTGATGCTAGGCAAAGATTCTGTGTATTTCTCTTAATCAGTACCTCTACCAATGGACTTAGCAGGGCTGTTTGAGCCCTGAATTTTCAACAAGCTTTTTGAAGTATCTATCTTCTCCATAAATAATTGGCTGGTGCATACAATATAACTTAAAGCAAGCAAGTGGGTATTACTGGACTCTTAAATGTTTGTGACTTCCTTTGTTTGACAAGGCTGCGTTAGTCTGAACTTGATAACAAGACAGTTATTTAATGAACACAGAATTCTAATCCAAAATATATACTGTAAAAGGCAATTATTAAGGGTCAAATGCAAGTCAAGAAAACCTGTGCACACCCATGCAGTTTAAAGACTTACCCCACTGTATCAGACATGAGTTATGCTTCTTGCTAAATTGGAAAACAAGAATTGACAGTATTTAAGTCCCTGCTGTTTAGCAATACTGTAATTAATTTTCATAACAATCTTGATCAATGCAGATTTCTCACATACTGATTTCTCCTTGTCCCATCTCAATTATCCTGAATTAAGCATCATATAAACCTGGACAAGTTAACAGAGGGGAAACCACCAAAAGACATAGGAAGGGCAGAAACCAGGGAAAATAACATTTGAGCTTTTTTGGAGAAACTTGGAAATAGTGACCAATTTTATTCCAAGTATTCTACTTACACAAGAGCCCAGTGACTGCATGACTCAGGTCTTGATCTCACCTGAGGACTTCCCTTTAACTTTACCATCACACATTAAGCTTCTGTACACATTGACAGTGGAGTGGAGGGGGCACAACTGCCTCATGTCAACAATGATGCCAGAAGTAATTTATTGAAGATAATAGTAGGGGCAGGATAAATACTGCCACTGTATGTTTGGGTGTCAGTGGAGGGTAGGGAGAGGGAAGTGATGAGGCCAGAGGAAATCAATGAGAAACCTGCCTTGGAGAACTTGGTAAGGTATCAGTAGAAAGTGGTGCACATCGATCCCAAAAGGACAAAATTCACAAAGGTAAAATGAAAATATAATATTTTGTTGGACCAACTTATGATAATAAAGAGTTTCATTAATTATTTACTGTGCAGTTTGCCTGCCTGAGAAATAATTCTGTAATGGTCTAAAGCTTAAGTGTGCCCAATAAGTTGGACCAAGAAGTTACATCTCCAAGAAAATTAACAAAATTCTAGAGAAAGCAAAGACCTTGCTTTTTTGAGGGACGAAAGCAGCACAGAACTTCCACCAGACTCAAAATAATTTTTCTCTATTTTATTTTCTGCCAAAACACCATTAAGACATTGGTGAGACTTGGACCCTTACTATCAAAATTATAACTGAGGCAACTGTTCCACTCCAACCAGTCTCAAGTACTCAACACAGTCAGAACAAGGAATGGAGCATCATAAAGGCAAATATATTTGATTGTCAAAGGCAGGTTGAGTGTTTTTTTCCTAATCAGACTTACCTGAACACACAGAGTTCATTGAGCTTTCTCCCTGCATTAATGAACCCCCAATTCCTTCAGATTATGAATTTGGACTTGTAGTGCTTATCTTTTTGGTCTTTTCACTCATTCCTTTAAGGCCACAATCCTGAACCATATACATATTAATTTTATTGAAATCAATGGGACTACTCCAAAGTAGAAAAGGGCATCACCAAAAATTACAGTGAAACCCTCAAAAGTAAGGACTCTGAAATCTTTTAATATAGGACTGAAAATAATTCAACTATTAGAATATCCGGTTTTCACCACAATCTCTTTGTAAACGCAAATGCTTCTAGATAAATATAACTATAAAATATTTGTAAGCATAGGAACGTTTTGAAGTTCTGTGAAAGATTGTGCTTTACTTATAATATATAGGGGTTTGTTTGTTATTAAACTATTGCACATGGCTCCAAGTTTAAGAAAAGCAAGCGCATTCATAGCAATTGCAGATTTTTTTTAAAAAAAAGAAATAATTTTGCGAAAGCAAATAAAACTAACAGGTTAAAATGCAAATTTTGAAATGGTATGAGATTTATCAGTATTTTAAAGTAAGTAAAAAAAAACTTCACACAGCCTGTATAAATGCTTTAAGAGGAGTGAGAGGCCCCAATACACTGGGAAATTCTCCTTCACCCACACCTAAATGGAATAAACTCCAAGGAAAGGGAGGGGAGGGGCTGTGCTGTGACACTGGACATCTGTGAACACATCTACAGATTTCCAGAACAATTATTTTGCTGGGCTCTATATCTGCATCCCATCTGGGGGGAAAACTAAAGGATTGAAGAGCTTGAAAACTATGCCTACCTCCATATTATGGCTAAAATACATCCAAGTTCACATGTGATGCTCACAATCCTGCCAACCTATTTAAAGCCCAGAAAACTAGATCCCCTTCAATAATCCTCAGTGCCTAAACATAACTGCTTAGGTTACAGTTAGAGGACCATGCTGAGCATGGCAAGACAGAAAGGCATTTTTCAAACTCCATTTATTCAAGTTAGCACTCTATCTGTGACCGTGGCATCCTCCGCAAGCTTAAGGAATGACGGTGTATCTCCTGCATCTGCCGGATCCGGTCCTTCTGCCACATTAGGTTTTGCGGCATTGGATATCGCTGGGTACCATGCAAGGACCGGAAGGGGATTCTTACATGACAGGCTGTTGCACGACAGCGAGGCTGGGGCATGGGAGGGAGCAACAGCCAGCGCTTCCTCTCAGCACAGTAGCGGTAAGCCTCTTTCCTGTATTGTTTGTCTGTGTCATCACTGTTCTTCCATCCACCTATGATGAACACATCATCTTTGTAATAGCAGACGGCTGCCCCTTCAATACTAAGAACCTCTGGTGGTAAACTTTCCAGAATGTCATCGGACACCTGGCTAGAGATCTTTCTCTTGACTTCCTCATGATCCTGTGGGTAGCTCCTAGGACAACATGAGGCTGTGTGGTAAAAGTTTGTGTTGGCCACAGCCATCTGAAAACAACAATAGTTGTCCAGGAGTGGCAGAGACTCAGAATCCTGCCACTGTCTTGCATCTACATCATATCGGATGATGACAGCTCTTAAGCCTTCCTCATTATCCCCGTCAAC